CTGCTTCTAAATTACTATGTATGGTTTAACGATATAGATACTATTTACTTGTGCCTTGATTTCTTCAGAATTCCTAAGAATCTCTCTCTAAGTTGAACAATAACCATTGTTGAAGATGTCTCTTCCTTGGTTGCAGGAACTTTCTGCTGGGATGTGTCACAGAATCTTCTCGGTTTGACGTGAGTTCTCTTACTTGGCAAGATATCAGAATCACCAATATCAGCAACAACGGCGTCTCTCTCTTTACTAGACGGTCTAATAATTTCTGTCTCATCAATGTCAATCTCATCATTCTCACATTCCTACAAATGATAAAATACCAAAAAAGTTTATCATTTGTCATCCAACATGTAGTTAAGAAATATCAAAAAAGTTTTTTTGGGAGAAACCTCAGTAGTAGAGATTCGTTGTCATCCAATATGTCCTTAGGAAAAAAAACGAAGGACAGAAAAGTTAGACACAGTAATGTCCTCTGTTATAAATTAGATATTTTGGTGGGCGACAGTAAATATACCTTGTCTTTGAAAGCTGAATCTAATTCGGGAAACAAGACAGTGGCTAGTTTAACTGTGGTTGGTAATGACTCTTATCCGACCATTGCAAATGCAGATTCTTCCACCTAACACAATAAAATATTTTATTATGTAATACACTTTCCAATCTATATGAACACTAGACAAGGATTAATCTCTATGTTTTATTAAGACAAATACATACCTTTGTTTTGGGAAAAATCTCAGTAGCCTTGGATACGTTGTCATCCAACATATCCTTAAGTAAAAAAATGGGGGACATAAAGTTAGACACAATAATGTCCTCTGTCCTAAATTCAATGAATTTGTTGTAGAAAATAAATAAACCTTGTCCTTGAAGCAAGAAACTAATGCGGGCACCAAGTCAGTGGTAACTAAGGACTCTTCTCCAACCATTGTAGGGATAGATTATGTTCCTGCATATATTAACACAATAGTTGTTTGAATATATGCACATTGGAATGGTTTTAAAGTGAAAAAATTTTATTAACACAAATACATACATTTGTTTTTGGAAAAACAATAGTGGCCTGAGATCCAGTTTCATCCAACATGTCCTTAAGTAAAAAAATGGGGGACAAAAAAGTAAGACTTAGTAATGTCCTCTGTCCTAACATCAAAAATTCTGTTGTAGAAAGTAAATAAACTTTGTCCTTCAACGATGAACCTAATGCGGGCACCAAGACAGTGGCTGATATCAAAGTAGTTGGTAAGGACTCTTCTACACCCATTGTAGGGATAGATTATCTTTCCTGCATATGTTCCCCAATAGTTGTTTGAATATGAAATACGCTTCCCCACATATATGAAAACTTGAATAGGATTAATATCTATGTTTTCTTTTCAACAAATACATACATTTTCTTCCCCTTCATGACTTAGCAAGTGTTGACTTACGTTTGTTTGGTCAAGCATCATTGTATCAGGTACATGTGCTTGAACGGGGACATCATCCATGCTTTCAGCAGCCATAACTATTTGACTAGCTTCAATTGGGGGTGGAATGAGCGTCTCAGTAGCAGAAACTGATACACTTGAGAAGGATCTGTTCTCATCAAACATGTCCTTAAAAAAACAAATATAAGAGGGACAACAATGTAAGACACAGTGACGTCTTCAGTTAACATTCAATGAACAATATTGTTGAGATTGTTAATCAACCTTGTCCTTCGATACTTCTTTATCCATAGCATT